TCGATCCCAGGACCCTGGGATCATGACCTGAGCCGAAGGCAGATGCTTAATGATTGAGCCACCCAGGCACCCCAAAAATTTTTTTAAAAGCATCTGTATACCAAACTCATAAACAAGTAGATAAGCCCCAGATCTTCCTTGCAGATGCTGAATAACATTGTTCCTCAACAAATACAAGTTAGATATAAAAAAAAAACCCAAACAAAACACATGAGGCATACAGAAAAATAGCAAAATAGCAGACATAAATTGAACCATATCAATAGACAGAAATAGGCTGAAAAAAAAAAAATGGAAAAAGATACACCATACAAAGAGTGGCCAGAAGAGAGAAGGGATGGTCACATTAATATCAGACAAAACATGCTTTAAAAGAGTTACTAGAGAAAAATAAGGACATTATTTAATAATAAAAGGGTAATTTCCTCAAGAAAATATAACAATTATGAACATATATGCCCCTAACAACAGAACCTACAGTTACATGAAATAAAAACTGACATAATTGAAGGGAGACATAGACAATTCAGTCATAGAAGTTGGAAAGTTAAACAATACACTCTCAATAATTGATATAACAACCAGGCAGAAAATCAGCAGGAGTACAGAAAACTTCAGTAATACTAGCAACCAATTTGACTGAGCTGATATTTATTGAACACTCTACCAAGAGAAGAATACACACTCTTTTCAAGGCAGCATGCCCTATTATTCTCTCCAGCCTAAATAATATGCTAGACCATAAAGCATCTTAATAAATTTTAAAAAATGAAATCATGCTAAGTATGTTTCTGACTACAATGGAAATAAATTAGAAATCAACAGGGCGCCTAGGTGGCTCAGTCGTTAAGCGTCTGCCTTCAGCTCAGGTCATGATCCCAGGGTCCTGGGATCAAGCCCCACATCGGGCTCCCTGCTCCGTGGGAAGCCTGCTTCCCCCTCCCACTCCCCCTGCTTGTGTTCCCTCTCTCACTGTGTCTCTATCTGTCAAATAAATAAATAAAATCTTTAAAAAAAATTAGAAATCAACAACTAAAGATATTTGGGATTCAAAAGTATTTTAATCAACACATTTCTAAATACTCTAGGAATCATCAAAAAAAATTATAAGAAATTAGAAAAGTATTTTGAACTGAATGAAAATAAAAACAAAGCCTATCAAAATGTATGGAATGCAGTTAAGGATGTTTCTAGTGGGAAATTTGTATCTTTACATACATGCCTATGGTACCATAAAAGAATTAAGATCTAAAGTCATTTGGAAGAATTCACCAGTGAGGCTGTTTGGTCCTAAGCTTTTCTTTGTTGGAAGGTACTGGGTTGCTGATTCAATCTCCTTTCTAGTTGTAAGTATATTTAGATTTTCTATTTCTTCATGATTCAGTCTTAGTAGGTTGTTTCTAGGAATTTGTCCATTTCATCTAGATTATCCAGTTTGCTGGCACAAAATTGTTCATATTACTCTCTTCTGTAAAATTGGTAATATCACCTCTTTCGTTTCTTTTTTACTTTTATTTTTAAAATTATTTTTTAAATTTAAATTTTAGGTAGTTAGTATACAGTGAAATATTGGTTTCTGGAGAATTTGGTAGTTCATTACTTACATACAACACCCAGTGCTCATCAAAACAAGGGCTCAGGGGCGCCTGGGTGGCTCAGTTGGTTAAGCGACTGCCTTCGGCTCAGGTCATGATCCTGGAGTC